GGTCGCATCGTCGTGCACCATCACAATTATTACCCACCAGTTGTATGCTACCGTCCTCACCCCAAGACAACGTATGGTCATTATTGCTGTATCCAGACTCAAACTTGCCCCAAATACATACAGCTATGATGACCGTACGTTGTATTCGGATGAACACAGCAGGGATTGGTAACCTGAGGCATACGCAGTTTGCTGCTTCAAGACTGAGCTCGCGCTGACGCCCCCCCAAAAGTTTAACACACAAAAATATTCGACACAGTGTGGCCTCGTGAAGCAGAGAGAAGCGTTTTTTTTTTTTTTTTTTTTTGTATATGCATTATGTATGCAATCCTATGGATGGATGGTGTATTGGGAGCACGCTTGTGTGTGCAAGGCTGCAAGCTTAAACCACCAGTGCTTCCGATGCACTTTTCTCCAGGGCTGGAAATGCGCTGAGTGCCAAAGAAAAAAACGAACCGGCACAGACCTCTCCTTTTGGCTGGTGCCGCCAGCCATTTTGCTCCGGCAATCGGGGCCCCAAAATTGCGTCGGAGAACGCGAGCCGCAACTTTGAAAAAATGGCTGCAAAACATAGTGGTGGTTTAAGACGAACCTACTGGTTTGATTTCACACCCTTTTTTTTCCCGATCTCAGATGACCAGGTTCATGTGATGCTGATATGTTTCAATTTTCAAACTCTTGTTTTTTTTTTGTTTTTTTTTTTGTTTTTTTTTTTGGGTTTCAGAGAGAAGCATATGCATATGAGTTTACCAGAGAAAAAAAAGCATGTGCATAATGAATTTACCAGAGAGAAGCATTATGCATGCATGGATGGGCCTTAGGGAAAACTTAACATCTGTTTGCTCAAGCATGGCCCTGCTGCCTCTGTGCCTGGCCACACTGTGTCAAATAACATCTGAGATGATCTGACTACTAGCTTTGAATGAACAGGAAAGTGTCCCCTTTGTACTGTGCTCCCTGTTTTATTTGTCGCATTGCCGTTTCGCGTTTGCAAATCCGAAGGATGATTTACGCAGTTCCACCTCGCTAACCAGGAAAAAAAAAAAAAGTTTAAAAAAATTATGCGCGGATATGATGAGCAAGAGGTTGATTGGTTTCTCGTGAAACGATCGCTGTCATGTCTTGCTTGTGCGGTAAGGGGTCGATGTACAGTGGTTGATGTAACATATCCGTAGAGTTTGTAGTTTATAGTTTGTACTGGACAAAGTTCCGGCAAACGGAGATCGTAGTCAACTTTACGCCCGCCGAGTTAGTGGGATTGCACAAAGTCCTTTATTGTTGTCGGCGGGATCTGTGGACAGAGACGGAGGCAAGGACGACTTCAAGATGGACCGCGACCTACCCCCGTGTAGAGGTTATGCCCTCTGCTGAGGGTCCGCCACCGATAGATATGCTACTGTCTTCCCCCGAACACGATTTGCGCCCTCATCACTACTGTATGGGGCCGGAAAGATAGCTTGTATACATGTTCATTGTCAGGGTGTGTTATGTTCGGGGGAAGACTGTAGCATCCATTGGGTTCTTCTTCTCGGAATGGCAGCAGGAGCCTCACATTGCTGTCGACCGCCCCTTCAAGATCTCTCCCTGTCGCACCCCTACCCCCACGATCTTGCCTCAGTGTGCATGGGAATCTCATAAGGAATAGCGACCAATCTCATTTTCCCCCCCCTGGCGTACCCCTACTCCCACGACCCGGCCCCGACAATCCTACCTCAGTGTGGGTGGGAGGCTCATAAGGAATAGGCACCAGCCTCCTTATTCCTCCCTGGCGTACCCCTACCCTACCCCTATGATCCCACCTCAGTGTGAGTGGGAGTCTCATAAGGAATAGGGACCAGTCTTATTATTCCTCCCTGACAAAACCCTACCCCCACGACCCTACCCCGACAATCCTAGCTCAGTGTGGGTCGGAGTCTCGTAAGGTTGGCGACCTCTATAGAGAGTCGTATAGACCCTATGGATATCCACGGATATCCACATGGCCAATTACTGAAGGTGACTGTCATACGTCTAGCATCCAACCGCTACAACAGCCTGTTTTTTTAATTTATTATTATTATTATTTTTACGTAAAGAAGTCAGTCTAAGTCTCATAAGGTTGACATGAGTATCTACTACAAGATTGGGTCTGTCTCTTATACACATCTAGATGTGTATAAGAGACAGGTCTAAGTCTCATAAGGTTGACATGAGTATCTACTACAAGATTGGGTACTAGAGGTACCTCAGAGCCCCAGAGGTGGTAAAACATGAGAAACAGGGGTAGAGCCGGGGGGTACATCCTTCGCCCGTCAAGGGGTAGAGTCATCAACGCCGCTGTTGCAGGGTCTGTAGACCCATAACGCTGAGGGAAGTGTTGAAAGTGGGTGAGCTCAACTAAGGAATGCTGGACCTGGTTTCCAGGCTCTCCAGCATATAAATATATTTACCTTTTTCTTTTTTTTCTCCTTTTTTTTTTAGTACGTTTTCCTTTTCGAAACCGCATGCAGAAACACACACGACACCAGTTTGAAAATTATTCCTGCGTACTAAATGGACAGCATCCGAAAGTACCGTAATGGAGCATGACCCTTTAATTTGACCCAAAAAAAAACGTTTTTTTATATCCGAAAACTCTTAAGGGTTAGAAGAACTGGCGTCGTACACCAAGTAGTTCATGATCACATATTCCCTCCTAAGCAGGATGAACTGTATATCATACTGAAATGAACCGACTTGCAGAGACACAGAGTTTACCTCTTCCAGTCCACCCGGAGCAGAGGACAGTTCTCGCCGGTTTATGTGGTAGGATGATAAGACCTTTTTTTCGATCCGGAGTCCGGACTATATTTACGTGGTAGGCTTGGACAAGGCGCAGTTGCAAGTCAGTTCATTCACAAGGCGCAGTTGCTAGCCAGTTCATTAACAAGGCACGGTTACGCAGGCTCACGAGCCTTGGAAGGTGGTAGCTTCGTGACCTTCGACAGTTCATTGTTCATTGACAAGGCGCTGTGCCGCTCCCCGTGGTAAAGCGGGGGCCGCTTCAACAAGGTGCAGATAGTTGGACAGGCTTGCGAGGCTCGGAAGGTGGGAGCTTCGTCAACTTGTTGGCTTGTGTGAACTGTTGGCTGTTAAAACCACTGTGCCTAAAGCGAAACTGTCGAGGCTCTTGGAGGTGGTGGTACAAGCATATCCCAACACGAGGAACATCTCCTTTCGCCGCCTCAGTGTTAACTCAGTCGATTGGAGGTGGTACGACGAGCGTACCAACATATTCTGAAACCCAGCTGTGAACGAAACGTGTCCAAAACATGACATAATTTCAAAGGGTCTACTCAACTTTAACTCCCCTCTTTGTGCTTTGTGCCCCGCCCGTCCGTCCTTCCCATGCTTCCGATCTGCTCTTCATCGTTTTGAATTCGAAAGGGTACTGGCTGAAGGGTTATCAACTAGTATCAAGTAGTATGAACTCCCTCGCAGAGGAAACATGCGAAAAACATGCTGCGCACTTGACGTGCATAACGTAAAAAACCCGACGCTTTCTCCTGTACGGCTCTGATCCCGCACAAAGCAATTCCCAGATGTGCACCTCCCCAGGCCCCACCCCTTGTTCATTATTTTGACTTCGTAAGGGTCATTGTGCAGACTGAAGGGTTATTAGACCCCCCTCGGGAACTGAAAAAAAAAAGAAAAAAAAGAAAAAAAAAAGAAAAAAGAAATCAACGTTTTAAACTCTGATGGAATGTAGAAGAAACACTTTCACAAACAAACTCTCCCTCATTATTTCAAATTTGTAAAGGTCATTCATTCATTGTACAGGCTGAACGGCTATTATATTAGCCCCCTTGACGACTGAAAACAAGAAACCAACTCTTTGGACTCTTATCGGACACAAAGCGATTCTCACAAACAAGCTGTCCTCCCCCCCGCTCCCCCTCCTCCCCACCCCCCTCATCTCCCCTTCATTATTCTGAATTCGTCGTAAGGGTCATTGTACAGGCTGAAGGGCTATTATTAGCACGCTTCTGGGAGGAAAACAAGAAGCTAAGATTCTGGACTTGGCAATTCTCACAGAAAACGACTAAAATTTAAAAAACAAATCACGGCCTTTTTGGACGTCAACCGTCCAAAAAAAGATTCAAATCTGTTGCACGGTAGTCGCTACACAATGAGATTTGGGTGTCAACCACTAAGTCTCTGGAGTGCAATCTCACAAAGAACGGCTCAAAAGCAACAAAACCAATTTTTGGGACGCTGACCGCCCACAAAAAGATTCAAATCTGCTGCACGGTAGTTGCTGCACAATGAGATTTGGGCGTCAACCACTTTCCCAATAGCCTAAAAAACCTCCATCTGCAACTGCTCTGCTTGTCGACGGCGGCTTTGACTCTGTGGGTCTTGCTGTCCTTAAGTACCTGGACAGAAACCCTTGGGTAGAAGCAAATGCCACCAATGGGTTTGACACACATACAATCACAAATAAAAACCACCACACAACCATAGTCAGGTTTCAACGAACCTCGCACATCCTGTTTGCCGGAGAGCAATTTTAACTAGCAATGTCTCCGAGAGTCCGATACACAGTACATTATTGACCGAGCTGTGGACATGATTAAGGTCAGATGCATCCAGGTTTGGCTCCAATTGCAGACACATACATTTTGGAAAGTGTGAGTATGCCCTCTGAGGCTCTGATAGTTTGCTTCTCTGACGAGTTTGACGGCCTGACATTCTGGCAGTGCTTTCTTTCTTTCTTTCTTTCTTTCTTTTTTTTTTTTTCCCCCGGCTTGCTTCCTGTTGTGGCAGTGCTGTCTAATAAACGACAATGTAGAGAATGATAATCCCCCCCTCTTCCTAGAAAAGATGGCGGTCCTCGCGTGACGACGGTCCCGGGCCCAGAAAACAATGTTGGCACGCGGAATGGTGCAACTGTCCCACTCGGTGTGATTTTTATTTTCCTGGCCGGTATCTGTCGCACGCCTTTTGGACGTTTCCGGGTGGATATTGCCAACAGTCGTTCTGCGACTGGGACTGTTCTTCAGGTAGCTGCGGACCCGTCTTTTTTTATTGTTTTTTTTTTTTTTTGGACCATTTCTCGATTTATGCGCGTCATCCTTGAAAGCGCAGGGGCCATGCTAATCTTCATTCTCTGTATCGTTCCAATTTTAACGTATGTCCTGAAGGACACTTTTTTTTCGTTCCAATTTATGCGCGTCATCCTTGATTGTTTTTGTTTTCGTGAACAGGTCAAATCTGGTTTACGCGGAATTACCAACAGTCGATCTGCACGATTGTTTGCAAACAAGGACATAGCAGTCCAGCCGCCATAGTTTCAGTCTTTTGTCGTTTTGGGCAGACGCACATGAGGCACATGAGGCTCTTTTGTCGTTTTGGGCAGACGCACATGAGGCTCTTTTGGTTGTTTTTTTGTTCTTCTTTCGGTGAACAGGTCGAATCCTGTTCGCCCGGAACTATCTACAGATGACCAACGCGATTGTTCGTATACGAGTCCCCATGGTAGGCCAGCCGCCCTGGCCCACTGCTCCCCAAATCTGCCAATGGAAAATGAATCTTCCGCTAGAACATGGATACGACGCCATATTTGCAGCGACTGTTCGAATACCCTTCAATGCCGTAGTAAGTAAGCACCCGCGGCTCCAGTACTTCGCCAATCGAAAATGAATCTCCCATTAGAACACGGAAAGATACACATTTTCAGCAAATGTGCAATCGCCATAGGAGGCTGCCCGCCCCGGCTCCAACGCTCCCACAATTTGCCAAAGGAAGATGAATCTTCTGCTAGAACATGGAAAGATACGCCGACATGTTTTCGGTCTCCAGTAAGCCACTACCACGAGAGGATGGTGCCATTGTTCGAATACAAGTCCATCGCAGGCCAGCCGCACTGTCTCTAGTCCTCCTCCAATCTGTCTAATGAAAATGAATTTTCGGAAAAGGGAAACTTCAGCTAGAGCATGGAAAGATACATCGCCATATTTTCAGCTAGACCATGGAAAGGGAAACTTCAGCTAGAGCATGGAAAGATACATGGCCATATTTTCAGTCCCCCAATCTGTCTAAGTAAAATGAATTTTCGGCCAGGGCGTGGAAAGATCGCCATATTTTCAGTCATTTGTGCGTCACTACTGACAGATGATCGACCACCTTCTCACATGGTATCACTGAGGCCACATAGTACCAAGAAAGAGGCAGGGGAGAGAGAGAGAGAGAGAGAGAGAGAGAGAGAGAGAGAGAGAGAGAGAGAGAGAGAGAGAGAGAGAGAGAGAGAGAGAGAGAGAG